TTTGTTTTTTTTTTTTTTTACCCCCCCCCCCCCCCCACTTTGATCAATTTTAGTAGTTTATATATAAAATCGGCCCAATTGGGCCAAGATTCAATTAAAAAAAAAAAAAAAGAGTTTCAAGTTTCTATTTATAAACTTTCTCAAAGTATAATAATAATAAAAAAGACTAATTTTGGAAACCACAATTTTCTTAATTATAAGATACTTAACAAAAAAACGAAAATAGGAAAAATCGGGAAGAGCTTAACTAACTATGTCTAGGAAAGGGTTTCACTTAGTTCTCCTTATTGGATTTGACTTACACAATTTGCATTCTATAAATACAATAGAATTCCATAGACGCTGTATCAGATTGCAGTCATGACTAGCATGGACGTATTGTCTGAATGCGTTATTCACAAAATACTCTCTTATCTTAGTTTTCAAGAAGCAGCCAAGTTGAGCCTTGTCTCGAAAACATGGCTACAAGCTTGGTTAACTCATCCCAACTTGGAATTCACCTTATTGTCTTCAAAACATGGCTACAATATTCATGATAGGAAAATTGTGGATCAAGTTATGGAGAGATATAGGCAAACAAAAGTCCCTATAGAAAAATTTCATCTTTCAGTTACAATTTTTGCTCATCCTTTTGCTTTCCCTCAGATGGATAAGTGGCTCGACATTGCTCTTCAAAATGGTGTAAAAGATTTGTCATGTGAAGTTTCTCTCCCTTCATACCCCTTCCCTATTTTCACATTCTTGGCACCAAAATCTTTAAGAGAATTGGTTCTGTCGGGTTGTAATCTCATGGATCATTCATTATTTATTACTACAACTCAAGTGGCAAGCTGTCATTCTTTGAGAAAGCTTTCTCTAACTGAGGTTGGATTAGACGACAACATGCTTCGAGATCTGCTCAATTGTTGTCCCTTGATTGATGATCTCATCATTGAGCATTGTCGTTTATTGACAAAGATTGAGCTGCGGAATCTTCAAAATATCAAGTCAGTCTCTATTAGTTGCTGCAGGAACCAGAGTGTTACAATCCAGACACCGACTCTACAACACTTGTCTTATTTTGGGTGTTTTCGGGATGAATCCCCTGTATTGGATATTGTCCAATGTCGAAATCTAAAATGTTTACAGCTAACAGATATGAGGATATCTGAAGGATTTCTCCAGCGCCTTATTTCTACATCTCAATTCCTTGAGAGTTTGACATTAGATAACGTTTCTACAAGGTTGGAAAGGTTCAAAATTTGCGGGAGTCAATCGCTAAAGTTCTTCGCAATTTCGAATTGCAAGGGATTGCGGGAGATTAATGCTCCAAATTTGGTATCACTCGAGTATGATGGAGATCAAATTCCTGAGCTTAAGATTGCAAAAAGGTCTCGCCAATTGAAGAAATCAGAAATATATCTTGATAGCTTGAAAATTTTGAATGCTGAATGGTTTGGTGAGTTGAGGAAATTTCTATCAAAGTCGAGCTCTTGGTCTCTAGTTTCCCTTAGTTTTGAGGAATGCAGTGAGATCAACATGAAAGATTTGGTGCTGCACCATAAAGTTGCAACACCCAAAGTGAACGATTTAGTTGTATGTATAGAATCGTCTGACAAGTGCCCAACACTACTTGTGGATGCTTTGCTATGGAGTTGTCATCCTAAGAGACTCATCCTAAAATCAAGTATTGAAATGATATATTGTTTCATGGATCGTTTAATGTATATGAAGAATTCAAGGCATTCTACTTGTCATGAAAGCAAGCGTCGCAAATATAGTCAATTAAAAGTCTATAAATTTGACTCGGAGCATCAGTGTGTGGAACTCGAAAATGGAGAGCTGGCAATGAGGGACCTTACAGAGACGGAGACAGTTTCGTTTGAATTATATTGGTGATGTAGTTTAGCTTGTACTGAACGTATTAGACGTAGTTGTAGACTTAACACAACTCTGTTTTCTTTTTTGAATTATATATATGAGACCTCTCTTTTCAATACAGTTTCGTTTCAATGATTTACAACTCATTTTGTTCAATGTACTTTTGAACTATATATTGCATTATTGCTTCCTCATTTGTTTATCCTACTTTCCTCTTTAATCTTTTTCAAATCAAACTGAAATATTGTTGAACAAACTACATTGCAGTCTAGATTGGAGAGAATGCACTATTTTTGCTTGCTTAGCAATTACATAGCTAACTCAGGGCTCGTTTGGTGTGAGGGATTAGAAATAATAGTGATGGGATTAGAAATATTTTAAACATACCGACCTCCCGATGTCAATATTATTTAATTAACA